GAAATCTTCTCTGCGATAGTACTTGATCAAGCTGAACTCTTGAAACCAATATCCAGACGACTTTATGGAGATCTTAAAACACATTAAGGACTTTGGAATAATTTCTAAGCTGCTGTGTTGTATGTGTTGTATGAGAGAAAATCTGAAAAATGCGATATGGATTATGGAATACTTGGATATCTTTATAATGATAACTGATCAATATGAAATGTGCTCTCTTATCACTTGTTGTTATTTAAAATAATTTATGATTCCAGGTTGATCTTTGAGAAAATCTTGGAGATGTGATTTGAATTGTTGGGTAATTTAAGATCTTCAAAATGATCAAGTTTAAGTCTTAAACATATATTTTGAGGATATTTTGGATATATATGGTTTCCTGGGCGTCTTTACAAAAAAATCTGAGAAACCTGGTATCTTGAGAGGATATATGGGAGGTATGATTTGAATTGTGGTGCTGTTGAAGTTCTTCAAAATGATACCTGATCAAACTGAAGTCTTAAGCAAATATTTGAGGACTTTTGGAGATGTCGATCACCTGCTATTGGAGTGAATATCTGAAAGATGTGATTTGAAATGTTAGGCAGATTGAGCTCTTCAAAATCAAACATGATCAGGCTGAAACCTTGAACAAATATCCTGAAAACTTTTTGGAAATCTCTAATCACTTGGTAGTCTTTGAAATTATGTCTGATTTGAATTGATGAGCAGCAACTGAAGTCTTGAACAAATATTTTGAGGAATTTTATCACCGATCACCGATCACTTGGGGATCTTTGGAATAATTTCTGGGCAACCTGGTGTTTGAGAGATTGGCTGGGAAATGTGATTTGAATTGTAGGGCAGAGCTTCAGAATAATACATTATCAAGCTGAAATCTTGTACTCATAACCTGATGACTTCTGGGAGGTCTTGATGTTTGTTCAAGACTTCAGGTTGGTCAGGATTTTTTTAAGAATTTTAACTGTCCATCATGCCACGTTGGAAGATCGTTCTTCATTAAATTGACTGGATGTTGCTGAGCCTTGAATAAGGTCTATCAAGTATAATTCTGAAGATTTCGAGCTACAATACTATAAATTTTCTCACATTTTATAGAATTCTCATAAACTTTTCCATGTAATTGGTTGTCTAAATCAGTAAAATCTCTCTACTACTACTCTCCTTTACTCGATTCCTCCCTAACTCAAGGGTCCCTTCAATATTGAATTAGGAAGAAGTGACTGTATAATTGAATAAGATTTGCAATAAGCCCTCTAGATGTTTGTTGAAGACTTCTTGTATAGGGGGTATTTTATGGAGATCGGATTATGAAGGAAACCAAAAAATATCTTGCAGGTCTTTTTTAAAATACCTAGCAATACGAAATTAGTGCAGATTAATAAGGTATTTTGCCGTAGATCTCCAATAGATCATTATTTCATATAAAATTTATTGGATACTAGCTGAGTGTGCCTGGCCTTGCTCGGGATTCAATATTAGCTTGAGTTTACGCGCCAATTAAAAAAAAAGCATGTTATATTGTACGTAGCCCCCCTCTTATCTAAGGGGCTACCCTCTATGACCTCCATATGCCAATGGTTCCATTACCTTGATTAGCTCTCGAGTTATGCAGAAACTTCTGTTTCATTTGTATGGGAGCCCCCCCTTTACAGATGGGGGAGGGGTGTCAAACCATCATAAGAACCTTTCCCTGCCCAAAAAACCCCTGCATACAAATTTTCACGCCGATCGATTCAGCAGTTTCCGAGTCTATAAGAGTCACACAGACAGATAGACAGGACAGAAAGGACAGACAGGACAGACAGGACAGACAGGACAGACAGGACAGACAGGACAGACCGGACAGACAGGACAGACAGGACAGACAGCACAGACAGGACAGACCGGACAGACCGGACAGACAGGACAGACAGGACAGACAGGACAGACAGCACAGACAGGACAGATAGGAAAGACAGGACAGATAGGACAGACCGGACAGACCGGACAGATAGGACAGACAAGACAGACATGACAGACAAGACAGACAGGACAGACAGGACAGACAGGACAGACAGGGCAGACCGGACAGACAGGACAGACAGGACAGACAGGACAGACAGGACAGACAGGACAGACAGGACAGACAGGACAGACAGGACAGACAGGACAGACAGGACAGACAGGACAGACAGGACAGACAGGACAGACCGGACAGACAGGACAGGGGCTACAAAAAAAAACAGACAGGACAGACAAGACAGACAGGATAGACAGGACAGACCGGACAGACCGGACAGACAGGACAGACAGGACAGACAGGACAGACAGGACAGACAGGACAGATGGGACAGACAGGACAGACCGGACATACAGGACAGACAAGACAGACATGACAGACAAGACAGACAGGACAGACAGGACAGACAGGACAGACAGGGCAGACCGGACAGACAGGACAGACAGGACAGACAGGACAGACAGGACAGACAGGACAGACAGGACAGACAGGACAGACAGGACAGACAGGACAGACAGGACAGACAGGACAGACAGGACAGACAGGACAGACAGGACAGACAGGACAGACAGGACAGACAGGACAGAGGGCTACAAAAAAAACAGACATGACAGACAAGACAGGCAGGACAGACAGGACAGACAGGACAGACAGGACAGGCAAAACAGACAAGACAGACAGGACAGACCGGACAGACCGAAGTGGCGTCTTGTATCGATATCCGCCCTCTACACAGCCCCCCATTCCGAAAATACTCACATTGCAAAGCAACATCCTATATGGGTAGGCTTTCGAGACATAGCATATTCAGGAAATTCACATGCACACTAGCGCCTCGTAGTGAGAGAGTTCTGAACTAATATGGACATCTTCCGGAAGACCGTGGTTATATGAACAACTTTGCTAAAGACAGTAACCTTCTACATGGCCAGGATGAAGAGATTTTCTATTTTGGACCCAAATTCCATATAATTCAGCGCCCGTCATAAGTAATATGAAAGAGAAGTGCCTCTAGTGGCATAGTTCCCAATTAAACCTGAATCAAATAGCACCGGCTTGTTGGTCTAGCCTAGTACAAAAACTTTGTCGAAGACAGTATAGCCATAGCGGTAACTCTAAGACTAGTAGAAACGTGCTCAACTTTTTGGTTCAGCTCTGGTACTATCGTCGGTCCCAAGCTAATCAATTCACCCCTCGAAACATAGGAAAATCCACTAACCCCTCATTTTATCTGTCAAACTTTCATAGCGAATCAAAACAAACAGAGTGTAGTACTGGAATTTTGACTAGAATGGAGTACGTTAATCGATTTTCTTGGGACCAATAGGCTAGTCAAGTAGTGAACCAATTTAAAATCTTTAGTTTCCACCGGTTGCTCGTACGCCTTTTGAAAGGTCGCTAAAGTTTGTCCGGTATCAGCTGGGGTGGCTTTAGATCATTGTCTTGGTTCGTATTCTACTGTTGGTTGTGTTGTTCAGTCAACTTCAAAACAAAACATTTGAACTGTCAAATTGACCCAGTTGCCAAGCATGCCGTTATTCACAAGCAAACAAAGTTGTTCTGGAGACTGGCACTCTCGGCACTGCCGGCCCAGCTGCGGCACACTGAAAAAAAAATAGGCACAAATTAGGTATAGCTGTATATATTGAAACAAATGTGATAATCGAGCACAGCCCCTTTTAGTGAAAATCCCATAAGCTGTGGGTATCCTTATTCGCGGATATCCCGGCAATAAGGATCCTACAATAAGGGATATCGGCAATAAACCATCCGAAAATAAGGATTCCTGACTGTACACCCCTGAAAATCCTGGTTCACCAATTTTACGTAAAGATTTAAAGCTCAAGACCATGTTTCATTTCCTTTATTCAACGTCGGTCTATGTTCCGCAATCGAGTGCCAGGGAGGTGACCTGGATCCTATCGAACCCATAAACACATGGGCCGGGACCGACGGCTTTACTTCCCTTCCTCATATTCGAGAAGTTTTTCCTGGAAACACCCGGAAAAATCCACTCATTTTTGAGTAAATCCATCTTTGACGAAATTGAGTCAACTCGTCCGTGCAGCACTGCTTCACTTTCAATACAATGCTTCGCTCATGACCGTTGACAGTGACGAAACCTGTTCCGTCAATTTCAAATGATGGTCATGAAATTTACCAACCCTGATCACATTGAGTAGGTTCAGTGAATCGATTTGTTTAAATGTAATGAACACTGCCCAATCCTAAATTTCAGATTATCACTTCCACATTCACCCTTTTTTTTAGGAATATCATCGTTGCGCAAGATCCATCCACTTATCAGATTTGCAAGCTTTCCGCCCAATTTCAGCGGCCTACGCAAATCGAACATCGTTTTTTTTTCTTTTGTTCGCCGAGAAAAGTAAACCAACGAAGTTGCCACTTTCGATTATGCAATACCAATTTTGGATAAGTGTGGAGAAAGAGCACGTAATACGGCCCCAACCACCAGCTGCCACTGGCGTCTCTACCGTCACCGTCGCCATGTTGTTTCACACATTGAGACATCCACACACACGCACACACACCGTACCATATTTTATGCACACAGCCCCGGAGTGCACGCCCGAACGCTGGCTGGGACTGCAAAAGTTTTCCGGACCCAAGTGAAGGAGGTGAAAAGAAAGTTGAAATTGTAACTTTCTTCGGTGAAACAAAAAAATGTTACAAAACTCTTGGGAGACTTGCAGTTTTTTACACACTCATTTGCACGCGCGCGCGATCATAGTCTTATGAAGTTGGTGCAAAAGTTGAAAACAACTATCCAAGTAAGCCTGCTAGAGTTGCTGTGACGACTATGTGACAACTGTCCTGCATGGCCTGCTTCGTGTCTGCCCGTATATTCACTCTTGAATCTTTCTCGTTGCATGATCTGATCACAAATCGCCATTCGATGGGCGAGAACAGTTTGGAATGATTTGAGTTTTTTTTTTTAGTTTTTTGCTCTAAAAGGGAAACGAATCGTAAAATTTACCAGCCACTAGCGCAACTACACTGAACAACACTACGGCGACTTGGATCCGCATTCCGATTTCTTCCGGCACTCGTCCTTGAGTGCACTTCTTCTGGTTCCGTCTTCACAACTGGTGTGACACGTAACAGTACACTGCTGGAAAAGCCAATCTGGTAGCCCCTTGGGTGCTGCTGCTACCACACACTGAACCGAGAAAGGAAGTTGAGGACCGTTGTTGCGATGCGAACCACAACTGCCAATGCGTACACACCGAGACTGAATGAACACGGTTCGCTGATCGTGGGAGACTTAAACTGGCCGCCGTTGACGACGTTGAACTCGGGTTGCGCCGCCTATTCCGATCCCAGCCACCACCTGAGAGAGAGAGAGAGCAACCCAAAGCCACAAACCTGATCGATCGGTAACGATACCGACGACGACGACGACGTCGTCGAGGAGCGAGTTTTCGACGAGAGCACCTTCCCTCCTGTCATCTAGGACGGAGATTGGCAAAGTAGGCTGTTGTGCTGTGGTGTAGCGCGCAGCGCCAGCGAGTGCTTCAAATTGTCTCAGCTTGATAAACAGGTCGGATGGCTTTTCACCTTCTCTTCTACGGCCACAGCGCGACGCCGAGCGGACGGTCTAGACACGGTGTTCTAAAATATGCTAATGTCAATGCTCATTTCCTGATCAGATTTTCAAACCGATCGATCTCGAAGCAATCGAAATTTGACAACAGCACCGGTCTACTTTTTGATTGATCTGAAATCAATTTACCCAGATCTAAGTGATCCGGGAAGGTCACTGAACTCGGACGGAGGACCGGCAGATGGATGGCACTGCGAACACCCGAAAATTATGCAGTGCACTTGAGTTCGCACGGGCATTGGAAAACGTTTCGGTTGAAGTGTGTTACGATGACGCCGAAAGAAGGAGAAGAGGAGGAGGAGGAGGAGGAGGAGGTGCAGGGCTTTCTTAACGTGCAAATTACGTATTCCGGGCACGTGTGAGTCTGGTTAAGCGTCTTCAGGCAAAGTGAGTTTCTTAACAAGAGAAGTTTCGGAGAAATTTTGAGGGCTGCCTCCGGCCTTAAAACTGAATCTAATTACGGTGGAACAATGCCGGGACTTTGCGATATCCCCTCCGTGATGATGTACTCCCGGTAGAACAATTGTTTTAAACTTTCTCAATTATCGTTAATCGAACTTTGCCGTAATGCCGCTGGCTAGTGGTAAGCATGCCACTCGTTTTGCTTTTGGCGGGATGCAGCAATAGTTACCTCTTTCGATAGCAATTATATTTCGGAAAAGTTTGCGCGATTGAAAGTGTATTATCGTTGAAGGGGGGGCGGTGAGCAGGAATCGAAATTTTCCATGATAAAATTGAGCCAAACTACGATCGTCGTTGTCGAGCAGGAACTCGAGATTTTTTCATGACCTACTTCACTTTGTAAAATCATGTAAATATTATTATCGTGGGCAGTATGATTGTGCAGTAGGTGCCGTTGTTTCATCTCTAAACGGCTATAGCCGGCAGTGAAGAGGCCATTGTTCGATTTAATCGTTTTGGCACTCATTCCAATAAAGTCTGTTTCGCCCTACTGCTACTAGAAGTACAACAATATGACGCCAAGCGTCGAAAGAAAGACATCAGAGAAACCATCTACCGTTTTGATTATGATGTTTATCTCTTCAACGTCCGATCATTGATGGACTCGGACCTCAACTTCACAATCGACCCGAATCGGTCGGTAATCGCTATTTTGCGCCCAATTATGTAGTTTAGAATCAATTTCTCATTCTTCTCCAACATAATCTGTTTAATTTTTGGATGCGCAGCTGGTAGAGTGCTCATCGTAACCTACTAATGGTGCTACAGTCGGCAAGGCATGCTGAGTTATTGATCCATAGATTTACTGATTTTACCCCTAGGGAATCTATAAAAGGGGCTCTTCCAGCTATTTTGCGTTTCAGTCTACCACGAAATTCAACCAGTGCAGCGCGGAGCTGACGTACAATGTGCTGTAGATACCGGAAGTGTTGGCCTATCGGATTCTTCGCAGCGTTGGCATATCTCGCGGTCGTAGCAGAATCGAAAGCACCAGACAGGTCAATCGAAGATGGGGAATTTATCGATTCAGTAGCACTAGAAGCGATCAACGAAGCGGTAAATTCAGCTACTGACGATAGCTTCCTTCCGATGATCCCGAACTCGGACCTGTCATGGTATCCCCGTGGTGACGATTACGGCGGTACAGTGAAGCGAAAGTCATTGCAAAAGAAGTGAGTATTTGTGAAGAAAATGATTTACCCAAAAAACGTGATCAGTTCTTTTTCTCGCAGCTACGAGAAACATCCCATCGTTCAGTCGTCAGATGTTCGAGTCGTTAAGAAACGTGTCAAATACACCCAAATGACTCAGATGATCCAGTCTACACTGAACCATCTGTTGATCGTGCTGTTGGTGCTTCCGCCGTTCGTATTGCTCTACATAATGATTCCCCTGAAGCTGTTGCTTGGTCTGAAGATGAACGTCTTGGCCAATGCGTTCGCAATGGGGGCCATGTCGGGATATATGCTTAAGAAAAAACAAAAAACGGACGGTGGTACAACATTGCAACAATTGCAAAGTTTTGTCATATCGAGTGGCTTCCCGTTCTGGTTTCCCATACTGCTGAACTCTGCTGGGCTTTTTGGTGGTGTTGGTCATACTACTTCCGTCGACAAAACGAAGGAGGAGAAGGTGGAGGAGGTGGTGAATGGCGACGGTTTGGACAAAAGTGATGATGACTACATCGATAATATTAGTGATGAAAGTGATGCACCGCCTGACGTTCTAGGGAGCTCTGAAATCAAAGAAAGAAGATTCAAGATGAAGAACTTAACAGTGCGTGAAGAATTCCGTGAATTTACCCCAGTACCCTCCGTGAAGACCTCGTTGCTTGACAGTTTCACGGTGTAAGAGTGTTCGGTTTACTGACACAAACAAATGAGTTTTCCAATTTGAGGTGCTGCTGAAGTATGCATAACCTTATACTTTCGCTAAATGGGTGTCGGAAACGTGACTGAAAGTGATCTTTGAACTATAATACAATAGTAGAAAAGTAAAAATACAACGATTATGTTAATAATAATTTATAATTAACAATTTTATTCATGTGTTTCACTTATACATTTTTGACAAAACATCAGCCTTATACATTCCATTAGACAAACTACATACGTCCTATAAAGATGATGATGATGATGATGGTCCCACCTCTTACCCCTACAAAGGTTTGAGCTGGACGATTTATCTTTAAGATAATTAAATATGACATTTTAACCAGGTTGGCAAACAAAATCGAACTGGTTTTAGTTACAGATATAAATTCCCTCTAGAGTTTACAGTTGCTTCACAGCGATATAAATGTGGAAAAGCTCAGGCGTCCACCTCTTAGTTCGCCTTTTTGTCCACCTTAAATATTCATAAGTATTACAAGCAATCAAGAGTTAATGAACAATCAACAAAGCATCCTATTACACTAGTAACCCCGCAATCTGATGCTATCATAAAAAAAATCACTGGATAACCGTTCAAAAGACAGTTTTAACGTGTGAAATGCAATGTCTCTTAAATTCTGCTAATGTTGTTGAACGTTTAATGTGTCTAGGCATCGAATTGAAAACATTTATTCCTTTAAAAAATAATGAATTCTGTGAAGCACAAGTCAAGAAATGTGGTGTTCTTATTTCATCCGCGTTTCTAGTATTATATCTATGATAGTCACTTCCTCTTTCAATTCGATCACACAAATATCGAGGCAGCAAACCGTTAACTACTTAAAAAATGAACACCATAGTCAAGTATACAATTCTTTGCTTCACCGACAACCATTGTAAGGCGTCTAGCATCAAAGTTGAGGAAGTGAATCTATTACATCTCAAAATCAAACGCATTATTTTATTCTGCAAGCGCTGTAATCTCGATATTTGTGTTGCATTGGACAGAAATAATATGGATGGGCAAAAGTCTAGATGAGCAGAGATGATTGATTTGTATAGCTGTATTTTACTGGCAATAGTTAAATCGTTTTTCAATCGACATAGAATTCCATACTTCTTGGCAATTTTCTTGATGACATCGTCAATGTGAGAGTTGAACTTAAGTGTGTCATCAATAATCACGCCAAGATATTTAATCTCCTGAACGCGATCAATAGTCTAATCATCAATTACAACAGAGACGTTCTCATTTAATCGATTCCGCGAAATTACCATAAATTTAGTTTTACTTGTATTCAATTTTAACTGCTTACACTTCAACCATCTACTTAGATACTGCAAATCTTCATTCAAGTGTGAGACGGCAACTTCTAAATCCTTAGCTGCAATGAATAACACAGTATCATCTGCAAAAAGGTTAATGTCGCAAAACCGTAAAACACGTCGCAAGTCATTAATATACATAATAAATAAAAGGGGCCCTAATACACTTCCCTGGGGCACTCCAAGGTTGTTCCCCACGGGACTGGAAACAGAATCATTAAAAACAGTCCGTTGAGTTCTGTCAGACAAATAGCTTTCAAACCATTTATATGCAGTACTCGTGATTCCAAAGCGCTTGATTGGCCTAGAAATTGTTTCAAAAGCGCGTTTCAGATCCAAAAAAACAGCAACAATCGTATCTTTACGCTCCAAGTTGTCTTTCCACTTTGCTCACACCAAATTTAATGCAGTTTCACAAGAATGCCCTTCCCGATATCCCGATTGTTCTGGTATAAACAAAGAGTTGCTATTCAAATACTCCAACAGCTGGCCTTTAACAACAAGTTCTAAGATTTTCTCTAATGTGTGCAACATGTTGATGGGACGAAACTCTTCGGCTTTAATCGTTCCAGCAGCTTTTTGAATAGGGACCACTAAGAATTCCTTCCAAATCTGTGGCACATGTCCAGTTTGTAATGATTCATTAATAAGGTCCAGCAAGATGTGGTCAATGACATGAAAGCAATCTTGAATAACTCTATCATTAACATTATCTACTCCAGCCGATTTTCCTAATGAAAAACAAATAACTCTAAGTTCATCTAATGTAATTGGGTGAAAAACTTCAAATCTGCAACTACTATTAACTGGCTGTTTTATTTCGTCAGGTTCATCGACCAATTCAATAGATTGATTAATCAATGAAACGCTATCTACGAAATAATCATTAAACTTAGCTGCAATTACTTGTTCTGACTGTTCTAATGTGCAATTAAAAGTTATGGACCGCGGTTTGCAATTACTAGGTTTTAATAAAGATTTCAAAATTTTCCAT